CCCCACTTTTAACTTACTGCTTGCATTAAGAGTAGCAAAAAGTAGCAGTTGCATATTCTTCTACAGAAGTTGTAGAGAGAATTTAAACTTATTTCCCATATAACTAGAACTTGTGGGATGCAGCAACCTTTTTCTACAGGATCACTCAGCTCCTCTTTCTGTAGCAGGATCAAATGGTCCTCTATTAGTATTTCCTGGATGTTCAGAATTTCCAGTCTACACCCCCAGTGCCCAAGGTGCTCCACACAAGCTGTTAGCACCAATCCCCAAACTCCTGCAGCTTCTTGATTCAGACTAGACAGCAAGCTGCAGGAAGAAGGGGTTGGGCAATGACATACGCCATGTCAGTGGTAAGGAACATTTCTATTTAATCCTCAGCAGGTCAGTGTCAAAGACTGTCAAGCTTTTGCGCATGTCCAGTAGAGTTTGAAATTATAACAGCAGCTTTGGCAATATTGGGAGAGCTGCAGAAATTCTGAAGAAAAGTACAGAAGAAAGCAATAAGTCATCCACTGAAATTGTTGAGTGAGAAGAACATGGCCACTAAGCGATATTCAACTCATCTCCTCTGGTGAAAGAGTACCAGGCAAGGTAAAGGCAAGTCCCAGAGAGCCTTGGAATGGACAAACAGCTCAAATGCCTGCTGGAGCAAAGCAACCATAAAGAAAAAGGAAGCCACAGAGAAGGAATGATAACAGCATCAAATCTCATTGTTAGCTGCAGCATTGCCAGTGAACACAATTCAGGCAAGGTCAGATATGCATGGCATGGCAGCTGAAACACCAGATGACAGCCCATTTCTAGCTGCATTCATAGGTGAGAAAGGTGAGGCTCAGCCTGTGACATAATTTATGTGCAGAGACAGAGATTACACCTTCTCCCTATTTTCCCACTTCCTACAAAGGAGGTTAGTGACCGCAAGGCCTTTATTGCCCTAGTACTTCACAGGCTGATCAGCTTACATAAAACATTACGTTTGGCCTTCAAAATAGATGGTCAGGCTATTCTGAATGACTTGGATGCATTAATCGCCAAGAGAGACAGGATCTGAAGCCAGGACACAGATTACACCACCAAGTGATTGGCAGGATGCTAATAGCAGCAGTAACTGACACATAGGTGACATAAGACAACAGGAATAGCATCCTTGAACACAAAGCTTTCAAGGGTAGAGATAAAAATAGATGTCTCTGAAAGAAATGCTTAAGAGAAAGGACAAGCATTTAGTCTGGAGAAATATCACTGGAGCCCAGACTCACACCTGCACACAGGCAGCAGATGAATGTGTACCATCCATAAATAATAAGTGGACAATCACAGAGAAATCCCTCTTGAACACCCTTTTGTTCTCCCAGAGCTGCTGGGCACAGAAGGCACAGCACTTCAACAACAACAGGGCCAACACCAACAGGCAAGTCAAGAGAGGCCAGACTTTCAGACTTCAGCCAGGAACAGAGCTAACATTTTGGCTTCAGCGTAACAGAAGAAACAAGAGCCAGACTGGAGAGGGTCCAGGAATAAACCAGAGAAGAGTAGTTTAATGATGCACTGTCTGCACTATGAAAGGAGAGGCAGTGTGGAAGGAAGCTGGAGAGACAAGTGGGGTCAAGGATGCCAGTAGATTTTTACTTTTTTTGTTTCAGTCCTGTGAGAAGAAAATGCATAGTAGAGAAAAGCCAGGTAAGAGAGCAAGGAAAGTGCTAAGAGCTGGAATAAGACATATCTAGAGGATGCAAATAGTTTAATTAAAGGAGAGCTTCCTCTTCCACTGCCACAAAAGGAGATGTAGAAGTGAGAGCCAGTACATTCAGCCAAACTCTCCAGGAACAGACTAACTAGTGCAAAGAGAAACAGGAGACATGAGAGGAGACAAGGCCTGAGAAGCAAATCCAGCAGCAACCAGCACACTGGGATCCCAGCCCTGAAATCATCAGTTCTAGGCTTAAAAGAACTAAGAACAAACAGAGCAGTTACTGCCACTGTTGACAGTGCTTTCAGCTGCTTCATGCATGGGAGAAGAGGCAAGTCACATAGGAAAGGGAGAAGGGAAAGGAACCAAGGAGAAAAGCACTGGGAACAGAGGTGGCAACGACCACAAGGATGTTTTCAGGTGGAATATCTCTGACAAGAAGTCCCAAGAATTCTCAGTACATTGGGCTTTGAAAAATGCCCAAGCAAGACTGTCATGTTTGCATCCTCCTTCACCAGGAAGCAAGGGCTACAACTAACATAGGGAAAATTTACACTGTCGTCTTACAGCTGAATCTTCAGCAGCTTTAACTCCTGAAAGCTTCAGTCTGTAAAAACACAAGGCAAGGACAGAGAACTCCTATTTCCTTTTAAGACTCAGAAATGGTAGCCTAAAGTCAATTGCTTGTTGTTTGCAACACAAACATGTCTTTCTTTTTTGTTTGACTTCTTTGTAGCCTTGAGATGTCCTCACACTCCTCAAAGAGGACCAGGCCCTCACAGACATTTAATGCCACCCAGGCACTAGAAGAATGAGCTGGAAGCTGACAGTAAAGGAGCACATTTGTTTCCTGTGCACCTGTTCAGGAGACCTCATTCATTAGTCAGTGAGCAAAGCAGGGAGCATTTATCTTGCCCAGGTAGGTAAAATGTAACTACTTCATAGTTCAAGTCAAGGTTGCTTGAAGAATTGTAACTTTGCATTTTCTATTTATGAACATAACCATGAGATGTTTTCTAAATATTTACTGAAACATAACCATGAGATGTTTTCTAAATATTTACTGACAACTTCCATTCCACTGAGGAAGTCAGTCTGGAAATGCTCTAATTAAACCACTCCAAAGGGCAGACAAGTACCATGTACATACCTGCTCTCCTCTACCAACTCTCTGGGGGTGGCTTAGTGGCCCCAAAACATTCTGTTCTTCAACAGTGATTCAGTAATAGAGGTGGATTTACATACCAAGCCAGTGTCTCATCTGTATGGAACTAGATAAGAGCTCAAAGCACTCCAGAACCAAAATATGCAGCACAATACAGAATGATGTTTTGCAGCTGCAAGATGTCAGCTCCAAGCTGCAAACTTCTGTCTCTAATGATCCTTCTGCTACAAGGGGCCAGGCCAGCTGTCAAACTAGGAACAGAGTGTCAACCACAACGTTCAACCTCCAAAAGTCACAACTCAAGAACATCTTCAGAACAGGCTGTCCATCTGACTAACCAGCAGCACTCGCTTAAAAAGGCAAATCAACTTCATGACCAAAAAAGTCCACACCACTTTGTTCTCAGCCACTTGGGGATACTGACACAAATCACAGTGATAAAAGAGGGTACAAAAAAGTCCCTCATCATTAAGTAACCTGGATTTATCTATAAGCAGACCAAGCTGGAAAAGCAGCCAGTGCAGGAATCCACCCCAGTGGATCCACCCCTGGTGACAGCACAGCCTTGGCCACTGACAGTGGCTTACTGGGAACAAAGCACAAGTTGCCATATTCTTTTAGTGGAAAAGCAAGGTAACTGTTCAATCAGGCAGTAAAAGAACCATCCCACAACAATACAGCACATTCCAGACAGAATTCCCCCAGAAGGGAATGCCAGGCAGGACTATGCCAGGACTGGTTCCAGAGGTATCTCAGTGCAATACCCTTAAAGACAACCAGAAAGCCCTACCAGCCACTTCAATATTTGTTTCCAAAATGAAGGAGCTGTAAATGCCACAACAGCAACTACTCTTCAGCTGTGCCAGAGGCAAAGCATTTCCAGTGCCAGTAGATGCCCAGGAGAAAGAGGCAGACAATGTTTTACTGATCTGAAGCAGGGAGGAGGAACAGGGAGCTTTAATTCTACTTTTGAATAGATGATCCACAAACTGTTCTGTTAAAGCCTCGAGTTAAGTACAACATTAGCCTAAAGGGACTTCCTATTGCTCATTCTGAAGACCTCGATCACCATAATCAGTTTTGGACCGTCATTCAGTGCTAAACTCTTTTTTTGTGCTACTGCAGTCAGTGAGGCACAGCTAACAGCCCAGATGGGAGAAAAATGGCAAGCAGGTTCAGCCTCCTGCTGAACCATAACCAAGCACATCCCTTCCTGAGGGAAGTGGGGAAAGTGTAAAGATTTCCCGTTCTTCCAACACTTACCCTTTTCCAGGAAGCTGCTTCCCAAGTGCTCACTTGGCAGATTAACACAACAGACAAATACTAAAACAAGATTAAGGCAACAGAAGTTTTGCAGCCCCTATCTGATAGGAGTATCCACTTAGTCCAGTTTTCCAAGAACAGTTTTATACAGCCAAGGCTGACATGTTAGGATAACCAGGATTTGTTATCTCCTCCCCATTCTTTTAACAGTTGAACTCTTTGGTCAATTTTAATCAATGCTCTACTTCACAAAAGATTTAAGCATAAGGCTTTCCTATTTTTTTTCCATTAATATTACAAAAAGAAGAAGAAAATTTTATTAATATATAGCAAAAGAGAAGTTACTGAAGAAACTTGACCTTTTTAGACATCAAACAAGGCAGTCACTAAACAAAGCCACAAGAAGAAAAAATTATCAGTTTTACAGCTTACAGAGATACCAGTATTGCCCACAACAATCCACATCATCTCCAAAAAGCCTCAGGCTGTGGTTTTCCCCTGACAGTTTTATTCTCTAAAACTCAGCCCCCGCTTTAAAAGAGATGTAAGTGGGTTAAGAATTTCTGTTCTCTTTGTCCCTTTGGAAAGGGAACCCTTAAGGCAGTCCTGCTTCTTCACACCCCACTCTGCATGGACAATGAAATTAGTCTATTTATTTTCATTTCAGATCTAGAAAGAGAGCTCCAAGCATTCATAAAATTAACCTTACAAGCAACACATCCAGCAGCATAATACTAATAGGCCAATCTGTTAAACTTAACCAACCAGCACCATTTTATCACCTTCAATTGTGTGATTCAGTCCATTAACAAGATGTTCCCTAATCAATCCCGAAATAGATTTCCTCTATTTTACTGCTACTGTTCTTGAGTCTCCTGCCAAATGAACAGCATTTATCTTCAAAACACCTGTGTCAGGGGGCCAAGTGTTATTTGCAGCTCTCTAGAGAGGAAGGGAGACAGAGCTGCACTACAGAGTGGCTGGCAGGGTCAGTCAGTCTAGGGTGCTGCTCTGAGTTCCTTCTGCCTTAAATTTGAATCCTCAGTATTGGAGCTCACTTTTAGTCTTGCTTTCTCATTCTCTCCATTCCTGCCTTACCTCCTTCCCTTCAAAACAGTGATGATCTCAAAGACAATATATTAGCATTATAATCATGATTTTACACAAGGAAGTTTTCAAACAATTTTTGGTCAAGAAGAATGAAAGTCTCAAGCATGAATTTGCTCAGTTTATTATGAGTCTATACTTCACTGTAAAAAAGGCTTTGCCTCACCTGGTGACCATGAAGAGTATAGAGAAGTCTTCCTTCTAGCAAGTCCAAAATCTTAAGAGTTGAATCACTGGAAGCAGTAACCAGATAATTTCCAGAGGGATGAAAGGAAAGACTGTTGACCACAGAGCTGTGCACTAAGGACGGGAAAAAAAAAAGTGTAATGGTCACCAAGACCAGTTTACATAAGCCCAAGGCAAAATAATAAAATAAAGCACAAGCACATTCCAATTTTCTGTTACAAAATTTAGCAGGAAAATTATCATGGGGGAAACATTGCACAAAAGCTCTTCAAAGCACTGGAGAACAATAACAGTAACTCAATTCTTGTAAAAATAGGCACTACTTTACTGAAAGGAAAAAGGAAGCTTTGCCAATTATTCTGGGAGATTCAATGCTACAAAAGCTTCCAGTATAGCCCCAAAATGTACTGTATGTACAAGTGAACTACAGGATTCTGTGAGAGCACTAGGCATTGATGTACTTCACTACTGTGGAGCTGCTGGTCTCACTCTCAAGTCATCCCAGATGAAAATCTGTATGTTAAGACACTGAGAAGACTGAAATTGCAATGGAAGACACTCAGAGTTGACACTGCACAGCTTCTTTTGGTTCACTATCTGACTCTAGCCAAGACTGGGGTTAAGAGAAGCTAGGAAATAAGAGCAACTTGAAAATGGTCCAGTATAAGCATTATTTCCTCAGACATCCTATTTGTCTCACCAAAAATTTAAAACAAATACAAATAGAAAAACTATCAAGACTGTGAACTTGCAATAAAGCCATTTTCCCTGCATGAAGATGAAGCCCAAGATTTATTTCGAAAAAAGCTAAAGAAAATGTTCTTAGGAAAAAAGTCAAACTTCACTGAAGTTCAGTATAACATTAAACATTTAATATATGACTTTTTTCCCTCCCCGAACTTTTACAAAACAGGCTATTGAACATATTTATTTATGAGAACACGCAGTACTTCACATATGCCCAGCTTCCTGAGCGTATGTGACATTAGAGAATATTAATATGCCTGAGGAGGGATTTAACCATCCAATTATTCTTAATTATACTATATGCCCTCCAAATGTTCTGGTATCTCAAATCTACTACTTCTGATACATCACACCCAACTAAATTTATGTTCTGTTGAGAGTTTACTGTGCATTTTGAATCCACACTGCATGTTAAGAAACCCTTTAAAATACCATTTTAAATATATTAAAACACCAAATATTACTTTTTGCATATGTGGATTTCAAGCATATAGCTGAAATAACCTCGTTCAATTGTAAAACAGAATGCTTCTACTTTAGAAATTCTCAGGAACACTAAATAGCTAAGTTCTGGAAAGAACTCCTCTTGGCCAGAGTTACAAAACACAGAAGAAAACCTTAACACAGGTAACTTCTAAACTGTTATTCTGCTGGTGAATACTGTCTCTATCACACAGATAGATCTTCCTCTACCCCCAACCCTGTATCATGCTATGTACTAAAGGAAAGAAAGGTCTGTGTGGAGTTTTTTCTTATGGTGTGATAAATATCTTTCTCCCTTGAAAATCTTATTCTGAGTGATTTGTAATATTCCTCACCACCTTAGTGTCTACATTCAGATAAACGTAAATTTATCTTGTCAACTAAGGAAACTCCTGAAAGGAATCACATCAGAAATAGACAAGGTTAGTAATGTATCACATCTTCCAAGTTCCAGATGGCAAATAAAGTATTTCCAGCTTCACAAAAAAGCTTTTCCATAATGGAAAAAAATCACAGACTGTGGCTGCATAAGCAGACACAGCTTCTGTGCCCAAGGACTTCTTGGCTCTTGTAAACTCAGAGGAAAGTTCATCTCTACTGTCAAAGCAGCTCATATCTCCCACAAGACCGTTCATAACACCTCTCCAAAAAGCATGCCAACACATCCTGCCACCTCAGTTGATTTCATGCTGTAAACACTAAATCCAGTGCAGCACAAGGTGGGATCTCCCAGTGACTTGCTGCCAGCCAAGCCCTAGCAAAATAAGAGCTTGTTAGGGGACTTAAACATGTAAAACTGAGTCTTCCCACCCTGCACAAAACTGTCCCAAGCCCCACAACACTTCTTTTATGTAATGCAACCTTTAGTAATCAACAGGGAAATGATAAATTAGGATGAACTTGACACAGCCACAGTCTCTACTGAACAGATAACGACCATCAGCCCCATACAAACTGGTTAAGTACCAATTCTTCTTAAACAGGAATAAAAACAGGTTACAGCAGTTTCCATAGACCTGCTACAGAGTCATCACACACACAGCTTTGGACAGGGAAAAAATGTCAGGCAATAAACATTGGCCATTTTTGTAGGGGCTGTACAAAACCTGCTGTACAAAAGAGTCAGCGCCAAGCAGAGAACCGAATAAAGCATGTGTGTGTTCTCCTGTACAGTAAACGTGACCAGAGCATACTTTGCTTGGCTCAAAGAAAACACACCATACAAAAGGTTTTGCAGCTTGCTCTCTAGTTCCAACTTTCATTTACAAATGTCACAGTTGGAACAAGTGTTGGCAACAAGAGCAACACTGCTAAAAGACTAATCGGTGCTGGAAACCAGCCCAACCTTAAGACGCAAGAGCCTGAGGCAGGGCTACTCATTTATTAACTCCTCCATGCAACTCCATGTTTAAAATGGATTCCCTGGAAATCAGGCAGCACCAGCACGTTCTGAAGGCACAGATGCCATCTAGTGGGACAGGACTGACAACCTCACAGAGGAGCCACAAAACTAGTAAGTCAGTTTTAACCAAAAGAGGTGTGTACAAACCCTGAGAAGAGCAGGACTTACAAACAAATCTTTTGAACATGTTACAAACACATTAGTTTGTGGCCAGAGGTGCATGAAGAGACTGCAAAAAGCCATCATTGCAATTTAAGGTTTCTTCAGCTATTATTACTATTTTTAATACATTTAATACATAGTTAGGATTTACACAGTAGCTGTTAAAAATAACACTCACCCCTGGAAAATGATTACTTCAATAGCAAGGGTGTCACACTAAAATGCCATTCAGTAAGGGTGGGATACCAGGGAAATATGTCATTCCAAGAGAAAAAATAAACCTGGCAGCCAAGCCTAAACCACATTAGATTTGAACAATTTAATAGCAGTAAGTGGAAAGCAGGAAGAGATGAATTTTGAGCCAAGTTGGAAACATGCACTGCAGATCTTGCCACCATTGAAAAGCTGATAAAGCAGGTTAAAGGACAACCTGACACTGCCCAAATATTTAAAAACATTACTGATTTTAGCAACAAGACTTCAGGAAGGCATTTCCAAGTTTTGATATGGGCCACAAGTTAACAATACTTCTTACACAAATTGCAGCTCAATACTGATGAATTGGAACAGTAGACATAAAAAAGTTTGATTTCTATTAGATTTTTTTAACTATCAGAGAGCTGGGAGTGATTGTGATCCAGAAGAATGACTGAAGCTGTGAGGCTGTCACAGCAGGAATGCACAAAAGCTGATGTTGAGGGCAGAAAGAACACACCAAGCTCTAGCCCCATGATCTGCTTTATGAGAATGCCAGAAGCAGTTCCTCAGTGAAAGTTAGCAAAATTAAGTATAATAAGCTATCAACACTGGAAACAGTGCTTGAGAATGTATTCATTTTAAAATATCACAGCAGCCTTAAAAACTGTTATTAGCAAAGAAAAGCCACATTTTGGCTGAAGAAACTAATGCACAGAATAGGTCAATCAATCTCAAAGAAGCTGGCAGGGATGGGAAAGCACCCTTTTCCTATCCAGATCTACCAAAAAGCAGCACTCATCAGTGGGACAAAATCATGTAATGGGAGGAGATGGATGCCCCTTGGCATCATCAAAGCTAATTAAGGAAGCTCAAAAACAGAGTCTGGAAAAGGAACCATAAATGTGGATCATAGTATAGAATTGCAATTGATTGATTTTGATTTTCCTGTTCTATTAACTTTTCCTTATTTTCTCATAAAAGAACCTAACATTTTGAATTGCTGGAATACAATTCTGACTCCTCCTATAGCCTTATTCAGAGGCAAAGGCCACATCCTTTTTGTTGCACACCACCTTCTCAGTAACAGTGAACATGAGCCAAATGGCATCACAGGTAAGACCCATGCCCACCTGCAACATGGGACAGCTTCAGAACTAGTTCTGGAGCTAAACACAAAGCAAAGCACAGCATCTGGTGAAGAAAGGCTCCCACTGGCAGGCCTAACCCTGTGCCCTTTTAGAAAAGCAGCAGCTGATGAAGAAACAATCCTTGGAGTTCAGATCAATTTGCATCAATACATGGAAAGGTTCAACTTTTGAAAGCCCTTGACTTGCCTTGGTAATGCTGAAGCAGCCTGTTCATCCTGATATCCCACAGCTTCACCGTGCTGTCCGTACCCCCTGCGGCAATGCAGTTCCCGCTGGGATGGAAATCCACGTGGTTCACAAACCTGTCAGTGGCAATCAAACCCAACTGCTTATGTTCAACTCTTGCTAAAGATCAAAAAAGCCTTTTCCACAAGGGAAGCTACATCATGACTCACTGAACGCTAAGGAAAGGAGGAGATAACCTGAAAATTTATTTTGTTGAATTTCTCTTAAGACCTTGCTTCTAACCCCAGGCAGACTGCAGGCTCCTACCTAAGCACATCTTCAGTAGTTCACATTACAGGTGTAGGAGCTGTAGACACAAACCTCCTGAAATCTGATGGATCCAACTGTCACAACAACATTTTCAAGTGTTCATTTAATGTTTGCATAATATATGTCTTCTATTAAATTAACATTATTTCCAGAGTGATGTGTACAAGACTGAACAGAATTTTTTCTTTTGTTAACTAAATTGAAGATGGAACTCAGTGAATTTGTGCCTGAAATCATATGTTGCCACTTGGAAAGTAGCAAGGCTGAGGTCAAATTTCTTTCTGGACCTGAATCTAATAAATGTTTAATTTGAACACATAAGTATAATAGAAGATCCAGACCCTTCAGGGAAAGATACCTTATAACTCCTCAGCAAACAAATTGGATGAAATTAATTATCTTTTGAGTGTTCTTGTAGCAAGTACTGAAAAAGTTGAGATATTTCAATAGGTTGTTTGGGGCTCAACATTCCAAATTTAACAGCTATTTTTCTGAATGCAAAGTGGGGGGTTTTTAATAACCTCGTTATTTAAAAACTTGAAGATGAATCAAAGCATCCAAGTGCTATTCTGTCAGTAAACTTTTGCACTTTTATGTCAACTCGGAGCAAAATTAAAGAAGAAATAAAGAATTTAAGCATCTCCAAAAATAAATAAGCATGAAGAAACTGAGACTTGATGAAATAAAGAATTTAAGCATCTCCAAAAATAAATAAGCATGAAGAAACTGAGACTTGATGTGCTGGACAGTTACTGAAATATAACCCTCACAGTTCTAACCTTGAGCAGCCAAAGGGGCAATTCTAGACTGGGCCCTCACATTGGCTACTTTTGTAAGAGGTGCTAATGGAGCAGTTTTATAATTGCCAGGACAGGGACCTCTGAACTTCACAAACCAGATGTAAATTCTCTAGGTAATTCCACTTCAGACATTACCAGCAGGTACTTACCCTCCATGCTCACAGAAGGAGTGGATGCATTCTCTGCTGGTTTTGTCCCACAGCTTGACAGTTTTATCATCACTGGATGACACTATCAATCGTCCATCAGGAGAAAATCTAAGGCCAGAGTTACAGCAATTAAGAAAAGTCCTCAAATGAAAGGAGTACAGGGTTGACTGAATTTGGTCAGCTGTTAAAGCAAGTTGGTAAACACACCTTGCTTTACAAGAAGTCACAGAGGCATCAGTGAGACTGAAAATCCAATCACTAAGCTGAGGGAAAATAAAGCAAGCCCTAAGTACTCAAACGATACCTAAGTCCATGAGCATATAAAATAAATCTCAGGAAAGTCTCGAGTCTGACTTAAGATCTTGTGTCTCGCTTGTTTCAATTTAAGTGTACCTCAAGTTGTTTCTCTGCCCTGATTCAAAACAATTCCTGCCTTTGCCACAAGAGTTCAGAGCTACACAGTCACTCACAAGCTGCAGCAGAGCCTTCACCATTCCAGTGCCTTAGGAGAATATGTTAAGTTCCCATCTCAAAATACCATATACATGACAGATCCAGATCTCTCTTCAGAGGCATAGACATTACAGAATCAGGACTTGTGACCCTAACTACAGATCATCAGTCATACTGGAAAAACATCCTTTCTGCTCTTCTGTGGGCATCTATGGCCACCACCACATTCCAGAACTGTAATAAACTTTCCACCTACAGAGGAACCATGGCTTGATCCCAGATACACACATGCTGTGTAACTCCTTGAAACCAAATCTGAAACAGTTATCAGGAAATAATGCTATTATCATGGAAGCACAACATTTTGGAGGAAACACAGGTGATCATTTTAACAAGGGGCATGACAAGTCTAAGAAACTTTAAACAAAACTTTTAAGAAACTTTAGACAAGTCTAAAGAAACTAAGGCAAAGTAATAGCAGAAATCTCTCCTTTTTTCTATTAGTAACTTCAAGACACAGAATTCTCCTTACCAGGTGAAAACAAAACACAGAACAAATCACAAAGCAGGAAAGCCTCTGCATGACAGAGATTACTGGAGGAACATAAAGTGGGTGCAGGCTATTATCAAAGGATGTCTCTGCAGGCCAGCAATATATTTCAGACACTAGACACATCTGAATCACCTTGAATAGAAATGCGTTGCACCAGACCATGACACTGAGCCTCTGCTTTGAGGGATAAATCTTCATCTCTGCTTGTCAGAGAGCCGTACTCACCTGGCACAGCGAACCCAGTTGATGTGCTGACTCAATGAGAACAGAAACTTCTGCCTGTGGACCGTCCACACTTTGATTGTTTTGTCATCAGAAGCTGTAACTAAGGACTGGCCGTCGCTGGAGAAATGAACACTTCTCACAGTTGCTGTGTGAGCCTTGAACACAGTCGATTCTCCCTTGCTATACAAAAGGGAAGAGCTCTTTAAAATTGCACAGCAGGGCAGCAAAGACATTCTGTACCTGAAAACACAGAGCTGCTGTACGCTGAGCAGTGCTAGTAACGGCCACTTCTATGGGAACTGCATGTGACCACATTAGGATAAAAACACTGATCGACCCCAAACTTGGTCATGCTTCATGACAGAATACACAGCTAAACCAGTTGTTCCAGTTCCATACTGGAGGCCAATCCAACAGGAAACAACCCTTGTTTCCTATAAAGGGGGAAAAAATGCTACAGCTAATTTGTGCAACCATTTAAACACTTATGAAAACATCAATGTAAAAGAAGACACTGAGGTTCTGTACTGCTGCCAGGTCCTTTGCTGCAAGGCAAGCAAGGAGAGGGGCGTTTTCACAGCTCATATAGACAGAGCCAAGCAGGCAACGACCTAACAACTGCTCCAGTAATGGCCCATGCTCCAGCTGGCTATTCCAGTGCCACATCACACAAGATATAACACAACTGAATTCAGCACACCTGATGCTGTACAGCTGTGAGCAAACTGACATTAACTCAGCCAGGCCAGACAATTCAAATGTGTTCATTTTTGGTTACACGTCATTTCCAAATAAATGCAAGATACATTTTTCTTGCAAATAAATACAAGGCATATTTAGAGATCCAAGAGGTTTATGGAACTCTTGGTCCAAAATCTGCCTCCAGCATGTACTGTACCACCATGAGCTCAACATTCACAGACTGAAGAGAAGACAAAGACACGGTGGCTCCTCTTTCCCTCAAACAGATCCCTGTCCCATAGCCAGAGAACTGCTACAAAGAAGTAAGGAGAAATTCCAAGCCATAGTTAAACACAGAGGCAGAAGAGAATAGGCACTCACATGCTAGGGATCCACAAACGGACTGTTTTGTCTCTAGACCCTGAAGCCACAAGGTGGCCAGAAGGTGAGAACTGGACACACAAAACTGCATCTTTGTGGCCCATGAAGCGATAGGCTCTCATCTGAGGCTTCATACTCCAGATCATCAGGCACGAATCCATTGAGCCACTTACTGAAATAAAAAAGGATAAACAAAACCAAACTTGCATTAGTTCTCTTCCAATTACACTAAAACTACATTTCACACTCAGTTCACCATCATAGCTTCCAGCACTCTCAATACAAGCCTCACCAGTCTATTGCAAGCTGTGTATTTCATTATTGTCATGCATATAATTTCATTAGTAATTCAAACAAAACAAGGCCAGCCGTGCATTACTTTGGACTGAATTTACTTCCAAGAGTCCAACCACGCAACAGCTGCAGAGGCAGAAGCCACATAGGTTGTAAACCTTCCACACACACAGGAAATGAAGGTTATCACTTTCTTATTGGCAGAGGCAGGTATCAGCTGCAGCAGGTTAAATGTCACTGCAGATTAAGCAGAGAAGACCAGTGCATTGGTGACTTAAAAGCACCCTGTTACACCTCCCTCTAACACCTCTCCCTTGTGGAAAAACAGTGGCCAAAGTCAGCTCAGCAGTTCTTCACAACATATTAAAAACAAGGTGAGTGGAGCAGTGTTCAATCTCCCACTAGCAGGAAGCACCAGCAGGACCTTTTGCTGTTGCAGAGCTCAGGTACCTCCACTGCTCCCCCCAACTAACTAACGCAGAGCAGCTCTTTCTTTATCCTCTGGCCATCAACACCCAGACAATTTACCCAATTGCTTCTTAGTGCAACTGAAGTCCACACTAGTGACAGCATCTCTGTGACCTTTGAAGTGCCTCTCCAGGGATGGATCTTCCTAGAAGACAAGAATGTTCAGACACTACAGATTTAAGAACCATCTTTGTACAATAAAATCATTTTATTTCTACAACAAGTGAATCAAGCCACATATTTACCCCACAAAAAACAGGTAGAGGCAAGAACCATTGTGCAGGCAACTGCACAACACAAAACACAAATTTCACACGTACCATAAATTTTAAAAGAAGTAAATTATCCAAGCTATTACTAGCTTGGATCTAGGGTGACCGCACAAATCCCTCATGCATTTTTACAACACGCTGCTGGCAGAGAGACTCTAAAGCTGACTGTAGAACAGATAAGCCATGTCCATGATCACCTGAGCAGGCAGCCAAGCTCAGCTTTGCTCTGACAGCTGCTCATCTCAGCTCAGGTGTAGCCAAGAGGCCACTATTTGCACAGAAGAGGCAAACTCGCAAGATTTAACACACCTATCGAAACAGGCAGGAGGAATGAGAACTGCAGCAAAACGGACTGACACACAACCCTTCCACAGCACCTTGCTGCAAAGGCCAACAAAAGCCTGAGGTCAGGCAAAAAACCAAAGAGCCGAGAGAACTATTACAAGAGATTATAACACTTGAAAATTGCCCAGAGTTCAGGACAGGCTGATCAGCCTTCAATCCCTGCCCTCACACACACTGTCACTGCCTCCCTGGCAATCCCCACCACAGCCTGTTCCCACTCAGGACTTGACCAGAGCCCCAGAACAGGGCAGCCTTCCCCCCTCAGCACCCAGCACCAGCTCTCTGCAGATCCAGAGCCCCTCCAACAGCCTAGAGGTGTGGCTCTGCACAAACACAGACCAAGCCCAGCTGCAGCAGCACGCCAGACCCCGAGCTACCAGCAGCGTTAATGCCCCCAAGCCCCTCTGTCCTGCATGATGCCACCCCACAGCAGCACTGCACCCGCCCTAAGCCCAGCACTGCCTCCCACCGCCACCCCGGCCTCAGAGCCCCCCNGCCGGGGAGCGGGCCCGTGCTTGGGAGCGGGTTCCTGTGAGCCCTGCCCGCCCTGCCACGGGGCCTGGGACGTTGTGGAAAGGCCCTTCCGGCGCTGTTATATCAGTTACTCTGGCAGGCTTGGAGCCGCTTCCTGGGCAGCCCGCTCAGTGCCCAACCACCCCGCTCCTTTGCCTCGCAGCTCCTGCTCTGGGGCCGAATGGCTCCCAGAGCCTGGTGGAGGCGATCCCCCATCTCAGCCAGGGGAATACCACAAAACAGTGCTGGTCACTTCCGAGAAGTGGTTCAACTGCTGTGACATCAGTTGCTGCTGCTTGGTCTGTGGGTGTTCAAAATAGGAACTTACCCTGGGCTTGTGCAAAAAGCACAGAACTGAGAAAGGTTTATTCTTCCAGTGGTTCAATACCAACTCAAATCTATTTCCTCCAACTCCATTCTGCTCTGCCTCGGGACAGTGTGAAGCCCACATTCTGCCTCTCCATGAAGCTTGGGTCGGCCATCTGGGCTTCTAAAGGGGCCTTTCCTCCATCTCTAATGCATCCAGGCCCCTTCCTGTAAGGACACCTCTCCTCTTGCACATTCCTGACAGCCGGGGATGTGCTCTGTTGAAGCTGGGGTTATAGTAGTAGAGGATCTAAAACAGGCAAAGGAGAAGAGTTAGTTGCCACCATCCCAAGACTGGTAACCCCAATGTTACTCCAAATTGCAGCAGAGGATCATGTACTTTGAGGGCTGTGTAGAACCTAAAGCTCAGGCTAAAGCTTGTGATGGTTGTGTTCAGGACATCTCCACCCCTGGGGTTTTGCCTCTTGAGAGGAAAGCAGTATAGAACTTTCAAAAGCAGAAAAATTGCTTTTGAAAACTAAATCTCACTATTTCTCAGCAGCTTCAGTGAAGATGTGAGGAGGCGATCTTGTTGGTCCTTTAGTACATCTGCTTGGCATTGGGCAGGTGCCACAGGAAGGTTCCAGATTTGATGCAGCAAGACACAGAGCAAAGACATGCAGAGAAATCAGGTTATGCTGAATCTGTCTGTGCCTTTAATGGGTTCACGCTCAGCAGAAATGTATCTTATCCACATTTTTACTAGTCAGAAAGACTCACTCAAACCTGCCTGAGCACAGACTGAAAAGGAAATGAAAACCAGACCACTCACTCCCATTCCCATCCTCTCCATCACAGAATCACACACTGTCTTGGGTTGGAAGGGATCTCTGGGCAGCTTGTGCCAGGGCCTCACCACGCTCACAGGGAAGGATTTCTTCCCAACATCTAATCTAAACCTGGCCTCTTTCAGTATACAACCACTGTTCCTTGTCCTGTCACTGTCTGCCTGCACAAAAAGTCCCTCTCCCTCATTTTTATAAGCCCCCTTATAAAAAGTGGCTTCTTTCCAACCTGCAAATGTCCCTCTACGAGGAGGCCTTATTTGCTGTGAAGGTCCCTCTCCCGCCCAGATTATCACAAGGTGTGCAGAGCAGCTGCTGTGCCTCGCTGTGAGCAGAAGCTGCTGCTTCCTCTGACAGGAATTCAGGCAGGGAGGCAGATCTTTGGAAATCCCGCTGCACTTTGGTGAATCCATACGCATTCAGCTGTCACATGAAACTTTTAATTTTCTGTGTGTGGAAGACCTGCTGTCTTTCCCTGCCTAGCACCTCCACTTCAAAGAGATCTTTGTTGATAGCCACACATTTTCCACCCTCACTCCACCAAATGGACCGAAACTGGTCACTTTCCAGCATTTTCCAAAGCTTTTGTGGAAAGCACAGCGACAAGAACTCTCACTCCATGGCCATCGCCCTGGACAGCTTGGCTGTGTCCCGCCAGCTGGCAGGCAAAGACCAACCAGCACCAACAGACAGCAGGTTCCAATGGAATGTTCTGGCATATCACTGTGGTGCCTGTGCCGTGGGGACATTGCAGGGGACATCTCAGTGATGGCTGGCAGCGGTGCCCTGGCAGGGGGAGCGGCCCGAGGAGAAACTGCTGAAGGGAACTTGTTGCTTCTCTGCCCCAGAGCCAGCAGTGGTGGGAGTGCAGAGCCCAGCAGTGTCCACTGAGCTGTCCTGAAGGGCTGCGGGCAACCAGAGGCCTGGGCCGTGTCTGGCTGCAGCAGGAGTGGGTCCCCAGGGAGGAGTGGGGATGGCTGCAGCCTTGGGCACCCTGGGGCCCTGTTTGGGGAGCTTTCTGGCTGGGCCCCTCTGACACCTGCAGAAATGTGGCTCCCTGGACCCCTGTAATGCAGAAACAGCAGCTCTAGCATGGAGAATCCTTTTCCTGACATCTCCTGCCCCAAAGCAGCAGTGATGCCTTGGTGTCAATCCATTGTCTTTGCAAACTTCTTGAATAGGATTGCACTTTTCTTTTTTTATCTAGTGGATTTAAAGTCAGCTGGGAGAGATGAACCAGGGAACACACTTGCTTCATTTCTGGCATGAAACCCAAAAGCAGTAGTTTCCTTTCCATCCATGAATGACCCATCAATGAGGCTGGGGAAACAAAGCCCAAGCCCTCACTCAAGCCATCTGGTTAAGAGATGTTCTGGTTTACTTTATCTGAACCACTCATGCTTTGTTCATAAATGCAGAGCCATGAACACAATCCCATGAATTGGTCTTCTCAGGGAAGCCATCCATCCTTCTCCCTGCTGCACTGCCATCCCACAGTAGAGAGTCTACTGGTTCAGAGGTGTTTGTGTGCCTGAAAAGCTCTGCATTCCTCCCTGCCCTTTGAGGTACTGCATCTGAAGAGATACATTCCTCCCTCAGACATGGCCTTTCTTCCCACATAGCTATGGATTTTGGATCTGGAGGTCTGAAGCAATTTCTAGCATGGCCTGACCCAAACCTCATTAAATGCTTTGGCATTTGAGTACTAGCTTTTCTTTCTCTGCATTGAAATAAAAAAAGAAGATATACGTGATGCTAAATATGCCTGAGGTCTGAAAGAATCTTATACAACCCATTTTAGAGAAATAATAAAACAGAAACATGTTGTGATTTCACTCCCACTTATAAAAGCTGGAAATTGAATTGAATAATTGCAGGATTCCACCACCCAAAAAAGCCACCCCAAGTTGCCTTCTAGATAACACACAAGCATGGTCACACATGGTGACCATGGATGGTGACTTTGCTTACCTCAGCCCTGGGGTGCCACTGCCTAACACCAACAGCCAGAGGTGACAGCAGATCATTGGTGTGACACTCTCACCTGTGGGAGTTCAGAGCAAATGTCACAAGAGAAAGAATTAAAGGAAAGTCATGTCAAAAGGATAGAAGGGGCCCTTGAGAGCAGCAAGCACACGTTGGGTCCAGCGGTGGAGTTGACTTGAATAGCCCAGTTCAGCCATTCAAACATCCCTGTGGCATTATCTGCCCGGGGTTTGGGCAGGGCGGCGTTTTTGCAATCGCTCCGAAGCGGTGGTCCTGGGAGCCAGCCCCTCCTGACGCCCAGCCAGGCAGGTGGCCCTCGGGCCATGCGCTGTCCCCCGCTGCCACCGCGGCTGCAGGGACTCCTGCCATCCTCCAGGTGGCCACCGGGGGGCAGGCTGGGGCCACGAAGCTTGGCGAAAGGGAAGGGCCAGCCGGAAAACGGGGTGTAATGTAACACGGCTTCGCTAGAGGTGAAGCAGGCCAGTCTAGGCAGCTTCTTTGTGAAGAATACCGTAACTCTGCGTGGTAAAAGCGCTGAGCTTGCCTCTTTCAAACGCCTCTTCCCAGCTTGCCACCTAGGCATTATCTAGTAATTCTCAGCAAGTCCTTCCCTGGCCTTATTTGTATCACTGTGAATCAGAAAGAGACCAGAAGCCCCAGGATCTGCCCCCTCTGTCACATCTACAGAGCCTTGCTCTGGCAGCCCTGCCAAGGCTGTGATTTCTGCATGCTGCAGAAGCTATTGCAGAGCATCAGGCACACCCAGAATTCAGGTGAGTTGTTCTTGCATGAAATTACTGTTAACCTTTGACTTCAAGCCCAATTCATAAAGCCCTGAATTTCTCTCTAGAGTATGTGGGTCTAAGTTTAGCAACTAAACTTAATGTTTACCAATTCTATACTGCAAACACCAGTTCTCACCTGTCCTGTTAATACTTACTGCTGAGCATACCAGTCTCTACTCATACCTTTACAGTTCTAAGGATATTCCAAGGGACAGCATGCAAAGCTTCAGAAAGTCACCATGAGACTTTTTCTGAAAAAGCTGAGGTTCTGGTCAACAAAAAAAAAAAGCACTGGTCAACAAGACCAGTGGTGGAAAGAAGTGTTTCACCATCTGCAAAGGAAGCTTCAAGAGACATAGAGCTGATGAATGCAATGCACACACACTAAAATGTAACCAGCACTTATATCCAGGTCTCCCAGTTGCTAGCAGCACTCTCACAACAAGGTCATCCTGTCCCCATGATCCCAGCATGAGTCCTTCACAGCTGGTTTGTGTCCCATCCCAATATATCCTGGAGATGAGGCAGTGGCATTGGGCAACCAGTTCTGCAGTGCTATGGCATAGGTCGAAATGGCCATCTGGGATGTGACAGCCACCTTGTTATTGGCACTGTGCATCCAGAGAGCACAGCAGAGACTTAGGCAGCCCAGGCACACAGCTACAAGGAGCCAAAGAACGGAGATGAAGATTCAAAGCACAGAGTTGTTGTCCAACCTCCTTTGCTGCTGCTGTGGAAGGGGCCAGCTGCAGACAGGTTAGGCACTGCAGAAGAGAGCAGACCCACCAAGCAGCTCAACTGATGACAGTGACACAGTCCCATTGCTTCCATAGGGAGAGGCTGCTTTACATCAGCTGAAGATGTAGCTTGCTACCACATCAGTTATTTTTTCTCTTACTAATGACTTTGTCCTCCCTGTGTGCCAAACCTGTTTATTTATAGCACACATTTCTTTTTTCCCACCTGCCTTTGTGCTATTACCCTTCCTTACAGAGTAAAGAAAAAGACAGGAGGAAAAAATCCCAACTTTCTCTCAAGTAAGTCCTGACCTAAATGCAAATCTGTTAAAGCAAATTCAGAGAGCTTTGATGCTGCATAAGAAGAGAAGGGGAGCAGCCTCTACTGCTATCAGAAAAGATCTTTACTGCTATGTAACAACCAGGCAATGAAGCAAAAGCCACGGGAGTTTAAAGAGGAAGCTCAGCCAAAGGTCACCTGGCTGCCCCAGGTGCTTGTTATCAGAACCTTGAAAAGATGGAGGAAAGTGACACCAGCTGATTGTAGCAACAGCAGGAAACAGCTGACAGGGCTGGGGGAGCCCTCTCCTCTCCTCAGCACTCGGCATGCAGAGGGTCTTTGCTGTTGTAAACCAAAGGGGCCGCAAAGCCTGGGCTCTGCAGTTTCTCACGCCAAGAGAAAATATTTCTACTTCAGATTGGAAGCATCTGCTAGGCAGAGAGTTAGAAATCATGCTGTTAATTGCAGTATCCTGTTTTATTTGCTGCCTAGTCTTTTCAGTGGATTTGTACTACTTTCACTGCTCATCCATGTAGCTGAAGGGCTAAGGGTGACAAGGGGACACATGCAGAAGCACCAGAGGAATACACTGCTACTCCCTCTGTGGGGCTACACAGTTCTTAACCATCCAAGAGAGAGGGAGTAAAGGGAGCTTGTGTATGCCTGCAGTTTCCAGAACTAGCCTAAAAGAGAAGGATTCAGGAGTGAAAAAACCTGGCAAGCTGTATCCAGCCAGAATACTTTCAGCAGCCTTCTTGGCATCTATGAAATTGTCTCTGACCACTTACATTGGTTCTAGTGCCTTAAACCACTATAAAATCTTAAAATCTGTTACAGGAATGTGGATCAAACCTGGCTTTAAAATGTCTCCAGCACAGGTGGCTCAGCTGTGCTCATCTTGCTGACCAAGGACAGGTGGCTGCTTTCAGTTCCTGAACTTTCTCTGCTGGTGTCTGCAGGGGTGAGCAGAGTTCAGGCTTTGCTGAACTCACAATTGCATCAATCCAGAGCCCAAAGTGCACAAAAATTGATGCTAGAAAAACACTAGCTGAGTTCACAGGAGTGAAGCTGAGACCTTTGGGACATGGGATTCCTCACTCATGGGGCATGTGTCCAGCACCCACACCCAGCAGGGTTCATTGCCACACAGACCCTGGTGCTGGGGCTGGCCTGGCCAGGGCAGGTAACACTGCATGGTCCAGCACCACCTAGCTACAAAGCAGGTCGGTATTACCAGTACCATGGAAACATGTTCCAGTATTCGCCTCTCCCCATTGGGCTGCTTTCCAAACAACACTGATCACTGCTGGCTGGATCACATTTGGCCTTGACTTTTAAGCCTCTAATGTTATGGAAAAGTTCTTTGTCCCATAACTTCCCAAATCTGGGTCCTCACTCTGCAGATTAGAGGAAGGTATCAGTCAGAACCCTGCTGAAGAGTATCAAGTGGAAAGTGTCACATGGGAAAAACTAAAAGGATGAGCACTCAGCCATGCTGTGAGCAGAGTGGGTAGAGGGACATCAACCTTCCCAGAGAAACTCCTGCTGACAGAAGAGTTTGATCAGCACAGGCAAGCACAGAACTGCCCAGTCCTTCTTCTAAAGCTCTATGCTCTCAGGAGCTTTGCACCTCCTAAAGACCCAGAGTTGGCTTCTCTCCTTCCCACACACCATTCCTGCACATGGCAGAGAGGAACGCCAGGTAAGTGTGACCAGAGCAGACCACAGAATCCCAGATATCTGTTACATTTGCTGCCTTTACATGCAGAAGGGAAGGTTGCCCCTGTTTGCAGAATGTCAGGGCAGCCCTTGTTCCAACCAGCATTAACTCCATGGCACCCACCTGACCATCTCCCCTGCAGCACTTTCCCCTCTGAACAGACTATAATTATTAGAGCTAGACATTCCTGCAGTGAATTGAGCTGTGTGAGGGGATAGTGGTTCTTTGTATTTCCAAGCCAGTTGAAGCAGGCAGAACCAAATAGTGGTGGGCCCACTGCCCACCACCCAAACCAATTGCTTTCTTGCACAGATCATTTGCCCTTCCAACATCTCAGACAGATAATGAAGTTCCTGACTTACTTTCTGTCTTGTGCCAGCAGGAGCTCAGCCTTTGCTGCACCTCTTTTTGTGCTACCGTGACATGGTCATGTTTGTGTTGGGACATTTGTCTTGCTGAGGCCACTAAAGTACAAATGGGACATTAAAGACGCAAAGTTATATAAGAAGACAGTTTTCCACTGTTCAAATAGGACAGAACAACCAGGAAGGTTTACTGTTCAAACAGTTTATTATCAATTCTATCTAGTTGTGTCTGTTAGACTTAATATCCATACTGTGCTCCAAGAGGCTCTAGAAACATGGGAGCAGCTGCCAGTGGAGATGGATGGGCTTCAGCAGACACCTGCATGTCCCTCCACACTGACCATCTGGGCTTCTGGAGGGGCCTTTCATCCAACCCCGCTGCACAAAGGGCTCTCTGTTTGAGGGCGGCTCTCCTTTTGCACATTCTCAGCAGCCAGGGATGTGCTCTGTTAAAGCTGGGGTTATAGTAGTAGAGGATCTAAAACAAGGAAAAGAGTTAGTTGCTACTATTCCAAGACTGGAAAAACACAAGCTACAAGAACTAGGACAGTCTGAATTGCAAAAGAGGAGTACAGCTAAGGAAAAGGACTTTGAGGGCCATGTGGAACTTAAAGCTCAGGCTAAAGCATTATGTGACCATTGTTCAGCCATCACAACTGAGGTTTTGCCCTCCTGGGGGCCAAAACAGAACAACTGCTTTCAAAAGCTAAATATCACTGTTTCTCTGCAGATTCAATGCAGATGTGAGCAGGCAGGTAATCCCATGATACTTGGATGCATCTGCTTGGCATTGGGTGCCACAGGGAGGTTTCAGATTTGGTATAGCAAAACACGGAGCAAAGACATTCAGAGAAATCAGGTTACACTGAGTCTGTCTGTCCCTTAAACAGGTTCAAACTCAGCAGGTCTCACTGCAATGTATCTTATCCACATTTCTACTAGTCAGAAAGACTCACTCAAACCTGCCTGAGCACAGACCGAAAAGGAAATGAAAACCAGGCTACCCACTCCCATCCCCACCTGTTCTATGGCAAGGCCTTATTTACTGTGAAGGTCCCTCTCTCCCCTCAGATTATCACAAGCATCAGTAGCTGTGCAGAGCAGCTGCTGTACCTGGCTGTGAGCAGAAGTTGCTGCTTCCTCTGACAGGAATTCAGGCAGGGAGGCAGATCTTTGGAAATCCCGCTGCACTTTGGTGAATCCATAGAGGTTCAGCTGGCGAATAACACTCTTGATGTGCCGTGTGTTAAAAACCCGCTGACAAGCTCCCCTGCCCAGCACCTCCACTTTGAAGAGATCTTTGTTGATGGCCACACATTTTCCACCCTCACTCCACCAAATGGACCGAAACTGGTCACTTTCCAGCATTTTCCAAAGCTTTTGTGGAAAGCAGAGGGGCAAGAATCGATTGTCTTTGCCTGTGCTCTCACTGGCTTGTTTGGTCTCGTGTCTGTCATTGCCAGGCCGGACGTCCCACTCATCCTCCATCGCTTGTACGGCAGTGTCACAGGGCACAGTTTCCCCCTGTCCTGGAAGGCCAGGAGAAGCCATGTCAGCCCACTGCCCCAGTGCATCTGGAGCAGAAAGGGGTGGTGTTTCTGTGGGAATCAGCTCATTTTTCTATTCTTACAGGTGAACTGAAGCTTCCCTAATTGGCCATCACCCTGCACAGGCATACCTCATTCTCCCAGTCAGTGGGCAAAAGCTAACTGGCCATGGCTAACTATGGGTTCCAATGGAATGTTCTGGCATATCACTGTGGTGCCTGTGCCGTGGGGACATTGCAGGGGACATCTCAGTGATGGCTGGCAGCGGTGCCCTGGCAGGGGGAGCGGCCTGAGGAGAAACTGCTGAAGGGAACTTGTTGCTTCTCTGCCCCAGAGCCAGCAGTGGTGGGAGTGCAGAGCCCAGCAGTGTCCACTGAGCTGTCCTGAAGGGCTGCGGGCAACCAGAGGCCTGGGCCGTGTCTGGCTGCAGCAGGAGTGGGTCCCCAGGGAGGAGTGGGGATGGCTGCAGCCTTGGGCACCCTGGGGCCCTGTTTGGGGAGTTTTCTGGCTGGGCCCCTCTGACACCTGCAGAAATGTCATTGTGGAAATCAGGGAGAGAGGCCAAACCAGGGGACCAGCCCAAAGGACTGCACTACACAGCACAGGGGCAATGTGGGACAGCCCAGCCCTGATGCCAAAGGTGGAGGCCAGCCAGGGCCTGACTGCTGGTGGTGGTGACAGAGATGAAGCATCCCAGACATTCTCCAGGGCCTGCATATGCAGGGACATGTGTTAGGGATTAGCTGTGTTACCTTGGCAAGTACAGGCTTTCTGTGAGCAGACACCTGTGTGTCCTGTGCAGGAGCTGGTGTGAACACCTCTTCCTCCATGCCAGCAGTGGTTCCCTGGACAGGCCAAAGATCCTGGCAGCTTCCTGAGGGGCAGCTTTCCTCCACCACCTCATCCAGGCACAATGCAGCTGGGGCTCTTATTTTGTGGCCCACTCTTGGCTTGTAGTCCTCCAGCACTTCGGGATGAGTCTTGAAGCTGTGCTAAACAGAATCATAGAAGCTAGAAAATGCAGGGGAGGAGAGTTAATTGTAACCAGTTCAAGCCTGAAAAACAAAAATACATAATAACTTAGACTTTAGTCTTGGACAAAAGCCAAACCTGAGTATTGAAGGAGACAGAGGAAGGTTTGGATAGGTTTGAAACCTCAGGCTTGGGCTGATGTTACAATATGGTTCTGTTGAGTGATAACCAATCCGGGGTTTTTACCTGAGCGAGTCTACAGAGCTGTCCTGAATTGCTGGGGGCAAGGAGAGGCTTGGGCCATGTTCAGCTGCACCCAGGAATGGTTCCCCAAAGAGCAGCAGGGACAGCTGCAGCCTGGGACATCCCAGTGCCCTGGAAACCTTTCCAGCTGCACCCCTCTGACACCTGCAGAAACACCCTGACAGTCTGCACCTTTTGTGATTCACTGGAGAAACACCTTACAAGCTCCCTGGTAACAAGCTAACCTTCCAATTGGATATGAAAAGTTCTGCCAAGCTAGGGGAAAGGGTTTCCCTTGTAGAAACACATTGCAGCAAGCCTTAGTGTGGAGTAAGCACTCTTTGTGCCAGCAAGATCAATACCAAACAACCTTGGTACCCAGTTCTGAGCTGCTTCTTGTCTCCCTCTTGCAGCCCTCACTGCAGTGAGGCAGTTTGGCTGTAGCATTCTGTCATCTGTCTAAGAGGGGAGGCTATTTCTGAGGTGCCAGAGACCCAGCAGAAGGCTGAGAGCCCAGAACAACCCCTGAGCTCACCTTGATAGTACTGCCAGGTTGCTGTTCTCTAACAATCTGCTCTAAACACTGGCTAAGTTTAGAAACAGTGCTAAAAGCAGGCTTGTCGTGGTCATGCCAATGAATGAAGAGCTTGTCAACAGAGGGAGAATCACCAGCAGCACAAGGGAGAAGTATAAACATGACTATATTTCCTCTATAGAATGGTTTATATCTAGGTGTGCATCCTTCAAACTGCTGCAACAGAGCTTTAATACTATATTAGGGGCTAGAAAATTGGAGGATCAGAGGATATTTCACTGTGTAGCTCCAGTCTTTTGCAAATGGATGTGAATCGTCCATTTAAAACACAGATTCAACAAGCCAGTTCCTAACATGTTCTGACCCTTAAAAAGTGTCCATATTCAGCTTTTGACTTCAGCTTTATCTCCAGAAAATCCTCAATAATCTAGACTTAGTCCAAAGGTGAAGCTCACCAAGTATTCACAGAAGACAAGGAACAGCAACATGCAGTTGTTGGCAGCAGGGCAAACCCTCAGGGGTGAAGAGCCAGCACCCAGTGATCACAGCACCACCTCTCCCAACTCAGCCTTCAGGAAGTGAGTTGTGTTTCTGTGAAAGCAGAAAGGGGAAAAAAGGTGCTGGTTCTCACAGGAAGATGGGCAAGTCAAAAAAGAAAGGGAGGTGCTATAGCTGCAGTGAGTTTGGGGTGTGCTGCTTTGAGTTATCCTGAGGTATAGGAAAAGCCTGTAGATGTAGGAGTCTCCTGCAACACCTCAGGCCTTCTCAGACAAATTTATCTCCCACTGCAAGTCACCCAGTTCTGCATTTCTTGGTTGGGTTTACTCCCTCTTGGAGAGCACATTCCTCTGCCTCTACCTTTCAGCTCAATGCCAGGTCTGCAATGTGTCTCATAGATAAACTAAGCCCTGGCAAAACCAAGCACATTCTTGTCTAGCACCATACCTTGACCCACTGATAAGTTCTTTTTTCATCATCTCCTGGAGATGTGGGAAGCAGCTGGAACCAGGATCCATGAGAGGAAGCAACAGCATTTCAGGCATTTCAAAAATAGAAAGATCAGAAAGGTTAGGCTTGAACCAAGTGAGGCAGACAAAGCACATAACCCCTGCCAGGAGGATGAGCAATGCAAACAGTGGATGCCTGCATCTGAAGGAAAGATTTTCCCCAGTCACAGCAGAGGAATATGTTTTAAGTAGCTGCCTTTTGGTCTTCTGTTTTGTTTACTCTTTCAAAGACAAAACCAAAAGTGACGCCATACCCTACTTTATTAATTGCAGAAGGAAGCATCTGGGAATGGCAGCAAAACATGACACAGTCCAGACTAGCCTAAACAGAGACACGCACAGGCCGTCCTGCTCAGCCTGCTGAATATGTAGATATTTATCTATTACAGCCTGCTACCACAGGTGAACACAAAATACCTGCTGGGCTTCAGGATGCTCCAAGCAGCTCGAGGAGCACAGGGGGAATAACATCACACTCAGCTGCTCCTCAGGGGTTGTTTGATCCCTTGAATAGCCACTGCTGCACAGAAGGACCAGACCCTCAGCTGGTGGGAGCAGATCCCACAGCCTCTGCCATAGCTGTTCTCATGCTGGCTCCAGTTCAAGGGCTGTATGGCTACTGCCCAGTTGTCAAGCTCCTGGCAACTTCTAGCCTGTGCCAAGCAGAAGCTGAGGAGCAGAATGAGGAAGTGATCCACTGAAACTTGCTCTGTGTGAGGGACTTCCCCAGAGCACAAGAAAGGCATTGCCTGCCCAGTAAAGTGCCACACTAAACCTGGAGAATGGCCAAGCTCTGGTTCAAGCTGGCTGATTTGATCACAGAAGCCAGTACCTCTGCCAAGTGCAGGCACTGGCTGAACACTTGTAATAAGAGCTGAGGTGGCAGGCCAGTTTTTCCTAACTCCTGTTATTTTTATTGTGTATCTTTCAGTATTTTGTGTTAACCTGAAAGGCAAGGGGGAACTACTTCACTTGCTAAATCAACTTATTGAACAATTAGGGTTGGCAGCATTTAGTTCTGTCAAATTACCCCAATTATTCTAATTAGCAAATATTTTTTAGAAATAAAATGCAGAGGTACAGTAAACGACCAGCAGAGGAAGGGATAGGCTGTTTCAACTGCAACTGTCCTGACCTTCAGGGAAAACTCTCTCTAGCACAACATGGTTGCCATAAATACTTACACCATGACAAAAGATGTCAGAAATGCAGGCTGTTGACATTACAGGATACTCAGCCAAAGCAAAACCGTATGGCTTTCAAACTGTGAGTTTAAAGACCAGCAAGTTTCATGACAGTGTGATATGCTATCCCGGAGTTTAGAGGGCAGGAAAGTGCAGCTGACATTGAACAAAAATACACTATTTTCTTTTAAGGAAGTTAGTTTCCAAATGACATGGAACTGTTGAACTCATTGCCAAGTTTCAGGTTTAAACTAAGAAAGTTCATAAAAGTTCATCAAGGCAGAGTTCCCCAGAACTTTAATTCTTTTAATGACTAACCCATTTTTTTGTTTGGTTTTTTTTTGTTTGTTTTTTGTTGTTTTTTTTGTGTTTTTGTTTGTTTGTTAGAGTTTTTTTGTGGGGTTTTTTTTTCCCCTTAATTCCTGGTCTATATCCTCTGGCTCAGAAGATTGCCAGGAGCACAGTGCACACCAGCATCTTCATTTAGAGTCTGCTGCTAGCTGGATGGACATTTGCTCTGACTCACTTGACACATACAATCAGCCAAGACTGAAGTATTCATGGTTCAGTGTTGTTTGTGCAAAACAAAGCCTCATTTGGCAGTGTGGGATTTCACAGGCTCATTTCTCAAATGTCTTCTCAGAGAGTTCAGTTCCTCCTTCTGTCTCTTGTGAGTCTGAAAAGACAGAGCACCATCCCCAAGGAGGGCAGACACAGGGCTGCCCTGCTTCTTGTTTGTAAAGTATTACAACACTGGGCAAGCAAATGGTCCAACCTCGTATGAAAAGACATCTTAGATAAATCCTGTGCACAGAATTAATCACACTGCTGTTGCAAGCACGGGAGTCATGAATAAAAATGACCCAAAGAAGAGGAGGATGACAATTTTCCATCAGGGTTTATTTACTCTAATTATAAACAGAGATTCCCAGCTCTCTTAAGCAATGCCAAACAATGAGCACTTATTACCTGTGGCCTGTAATCTTAGCTGAGGACTATGCTAGAGCAGATTTTCTGCCACATATCTGGAGTGGGCTGCCTTGATCTTACAACTTCAACAGCAAAAGCATCATTTTACTGTTACTGCTGAATATGTGTTTATTGCACAGTTACAGAAACATTTCCTTGCTACTGTAAAGAGGTACCCTGATATAACCTCCAGATGTCATAAGGTAAAGGTTCCTGCTGCCAACCCCACCTCTTAAGGTATAAGCTCTTATACCTTGTCCAGTGTGGAACAAAACTCTGCCCCTGAGCTGAGCTGAGGTCTATTTTGTACTGGTGAAACCAGCATTCACAACTGATCAGGTAGACAACCTGAGATATCTGAGTGGTTTTCTTAGGAATGGGTGACTACTTACACAGATTGTGCAATTGCTCTGCCTCTGCTCTGCAAACACAGCCTGATGTCCAAACAGCAGTGTCTGTAACAGCCTGACTCTGTATTGATATCATTTGCGTGCGCTTTGTAAATAAACAAATAGTGACTCACAAGTGACAGGCATGGAGAAACACAGGGCAGGGGTTATAGCACAGGCTAAGTCATCACCTTCTCATCTGTCCAGGCACACAGTACAGAAGGGGCCTGGCTGCAGCAGGGTAATGCCACAGTAGCAGCAACCCTGGCTGCCAAGGCCAACCCTCACTCCAGCATCTCAGTGACATTTGGCCTAACTGGCAACAGCATCCCTGGCCTGGCAGGATACCCCCCAAAGGTGGACATTCACACTATATCCTCACCCAAAAGCACCTCTTTCCCCAGCACTGCATGTCCCGTCCACCCTTCAGATTGCTACACTCAATTAGCACTGGGCAAGTGAAAAAAAGTACAGGATATACAGAGATTAATGTTTAACCTTTTCCTGCCTTACACTACTGGCAAATAGCTGCAAGCAATACAGGATTTTTTTCCCACTCATTTTCCACTCATTTCCACTTGGTGAGCAATTTTGTTTCCTCTGCCAGGCAAGGAGCTCCCTAAACAGCAGACCTAAAGAAACCAGGTGCCTCATGCATTTAGTATTTGGGTAATTAGTTTTCCTCATGGCTGCCACAGTTCAAGTCTGCTACAGCCAGCCTGTTTCTTCATCAGTGGATTGTAAGGTCTCTATCAACTGGCTTTGTGGTTTCAGAGATCTCTTATGAACCTTTAAAAGCTTTACTGTGCTTTGAGCTTTCCACTGAACTGAAGCATGGCCACGTTCAAAGCCACTGGCAGGCAGTCAGCACAACCACAGTACAACAGTGTGCCCTCACAGAGTTCAGCTTGAAACAAATGCAAACAGAAGACAAGAGCAAATCATATCCTAGCCCGGCAAAAATCATTTAAAACACAGGAGAATTGCAAAACCAAATCTGAAAAGGCACCAAATCAGAAGATTCTTGTTTGTAGGCTCGTCTCTTCAATTCTTAGAGATGTAGCCTGAACAAAGCACTTGAACAGTTATGACCTAGTGACTGGATCTTCAGCCCTGAGCACCCAGAGCATAGGGAAGCTCTTCAGTCCAAGTCTCCTTCTCCAACCACCAACAGCAGCCAGCCACAACTGCCTGGCATAAACCCTCTTGTCACAAGAGGAGAGTCAGTGCTTTATCCTTGCAGCCCATCACCGTGCAGGACAGCCTGGTACTGCCGGAGAAGCTGGATATGAATGGATGGCTGATTCATGCTGGGACACTGGGCCATTTTCTTGTCCCCCCAAGCACGACCTCACCCAGCACAAGAGAGCTGTGAAACCAGTTCCCTGCACGGTCCCACTCCAGTGGGCTGAACAACCAGAGATGTCAGAGGCTTACTTGGAGGCTGTGATCCTTAAGGCTTTGTCTGGTTGTAATTAAGGCACCTCCTAGGGAGGATGTGCTGCCTGCTTTACCCAGCAGTGTCTGGGCAAGGCTGTGCAGGGATAGAGACAGAGGCTGCAAGGGCCTACTTTGCAGGCTGCAGAAAGAACAGAGGCATGCTAAGACCATCACACTGAGGTTCCAGTGGCATCATCTTGCCTCCTTACCTCCTTCAACCTGCAACCAGAGGTGCACGGTCATCTCCAAGTCCTCCCTCTCTTGCCCAGCTCTGTTCCTCACTCATTCCTGCCCTGGGCAGGCCAGGTCTGTGCTGGGGCCTCTGCACCACCCCAGAGGTGGAAGCCAAGATCTGAGCATTGGCAGGTTGGGGTGTGCAGGAAAGAACAACCCCAGGTTGCAGGGAGCTCACTGCAACACAAAGAGCCGAGGTGGTTTATCTCTTCAAGAGCCCCTTTCTTTTCCACAGAACAACTGAAGCTTCCAAGAGAAGTAACAGGTGGGACAACTACTTGCTAGCAGCCCAAATCATTATCCAAGGCTCAGGCTGGTGTTTGCTTCAAAGACTCTCCATGTTCCAGTACAGCTCACCCACTGCCCACAAGTTTTACAACATCTGAAGCTACAGTAACCGTTAAACTGCTGTTCGTGCTTTGGGCAAAACCCTGCATTGAACAATACCAAGACTTATCTTGATATTAGCAAAGCACAGCTGAGCAAATGGGAGATGTGCTCTCACAACAGGAAGCTGTGCACAGCCCCAGGCCAGGCAGAGTACTGTCAAGGCCCCCATGTCAAGGGATCAAGTCCAAGGGCCACCTAACCTTATCTCTTATCCAGACCAACACCAGACACTTCCCAAAGAGGTGCAGGAACCCCAACCTGCCTGCATAGGTTCTGACCTGGCCCCCAGCACCTCAGGACTGGTTTATGTCTGGACAAGTTTCTTGCAGGAAAGCATCCCTATTGATTCCCACACCAGGTTGCCTTGTTTTCCATTTCAGAACCTGAGCTGGACGTTCCGTTTTGCTAAATTTATGGTCCCACCAACTTCTGAAGACAATGAGACACACACGAGTAAGCTCAGTTAACCAGTGGCTAAAAGGATTTTCTCACAGCCCAATCATCCTTTAGTTAAGCTCCATGATTTCATGGCAACAAGCCCCAGATAGGCTGGAGATGTTGGGAACAGGAGGTTCTTCCCAGTTACCACACAATACATATTTTTCCTGGGTGGCTATTTGTTGCCACCAGTCGTGCTGAGAACAGCACTGTTCCCTGTGGCATAGTGGATTCAATTTATAATAAAACCAAAAAGAGAAAAAATAGGGCAGCTTTGACAAGATCTGCTTGACTCACCCCTGCTGCTGTGTTTAATATTGTTGTAGAATTGCTCCATGCAGGGAGCAATTTAGAAAAAGCTTGATGAGGAAAAGCTTGTGATGAGGAAAGCTCATCTGCTTTCCTTTAGAGCAGCTGCCTGCCCAGGACAGATGCACTTGTCACGTATGTGGAGATGGCTCATGCATACTAAAGGAACAACTCATTCAATAACCACACATTTATGAGACAGTTTCTAATCAAATCCTTCCTCCAAGCACAGATAACAAGCCATCCTCAACACTCTCACCACAAGTACATGACAGCTCCAGTACTCTGCTGTCTCCAACACACCACAGCCTCATTGTGCAAGGACCCACCAAGCCAGTGTAACAATCCCAGCCTCAGGGCACCCATCCCCTGCTAACTCAGAAAATCTTGTGCTAGGAATGTACCCTAATCCTACATCTTGACTGAGATTTCCAAGCTGTGTGCAGTACACTGGCAGATCACATGGCAGTGCCTCCAGCTAAGACACAAGCTTGCTGCCTGCTTCCTTAATGCTCTGCTCCATGTGAGTTCACAAAGCATGGGAGATGTCCTGTTACTGCAGGTGAAAAAACGTCATT